CTTTATAGGGTCGGAGATGTCTCCTTCACTGCGTTGCACACTTTTGACCAAAATTATAATACCCTCTGCAAGGGTATAAAAATGACACTTAAGGTATTACAATGGAACATAAAAGGTTACATGAATAACTATAGAGAATTACAAACTGGAAATGCTGGAATATGGAACATGCAAACTGGAAAATTGACCAAGACCTCCATGGCAGTGATCACTTTCCCATTATCACTTCTTTGTTTCAAACAACCACCAACCAAAACGCGGAGTCGTACCCAAAACGAAAATTCCTACAACAATTTGCCAACTGGGACAAGTTTGAGAAATTAACAGCAACATTAAATCCAAAGCTTCAACCCTGTTCAAACATAAACCAAGAAGCAGCAAACTTAATTTTACAAAGCGCCAATGAATCTATTCCCCAATCTTTGGTTTCTAATTCTGAACACAATGTCCCCTGGTGGAACCCTAAGCTAGCTGTTGTTCGTAAATCAAAACAAAAACTATGGCACAAATTAAAAAACAATATTACAAGTGAAAACTTAATTAACTACAAAAAAGCCAATGCACTCTTCAAAAGAGAATTAAAATTAGCCAAAAATGCAGCTATGCACGACTTTACATCAGATATACAACCCTACAACTTCCAACCCTAAGATTATTTGGAATAACATCAGAAGATTTTGTGGCCTTAAAACCTCTATACCCATTCACTGCATTTTACCAATTAATCAAACCAATCAGCCCATTATAGAGAAAAGAGATATAGCAAACGAATTTTGCTCCCTCTGGTCTAAAAACTTTGATGACTGTAATTTCGATAGTAGCTTTCTTGCAAATTAAAACTCCACACTAAACAATACTTATCCTTTTACTTATCCAATAGACAAAAATGCTACACTTATTGAAGAAGAATTCTCAATTTTAGAACTCCACGCGGCTCTTAACAAACTAAAAGGCAAAACTCCAGGATGTGAGAGGATTACATTACATATAAAACCTAGACTACCACAATTGTATAATAATATCTTTCAGAGTGGCATTCCGCAAAACTATAAACTGAATATTGTTATCCCAATTGCTAAACCAAACTCTGACAAAACATCTCTTAATTCGTATCGTCCCATTTCACTAAACTCTTTCTTCTAAACTCTAAGGCTTTGGTAGCTTTTAACTAGCAACAAACTATTGAATAAAAATCAGTTTGGGTTCATTAAAGGTAAATCGGTATCTGAAGCTCTACTCTTGGTAGATCATCTGATCACTAAATCTTTACAGAGAAAAAACCATGTCTCAATACTATCTCTTGACTTCCACAAAGCTTTTGACAAAATTGGAATTCATACAATTTTAAATCAACTCGTTTCCTGGCACGTCGGCCCCAAAATTATAGGTTTCATCAAAAACTTCATGACAAACCGGAAAATAAAAGTGCAAATAGGGAATGCTTTCTCCAGAACGTTGGACCTCCATAATGGAATCCCTCAGGGATCACCACTATCCGTCGTTATTTTTACAATTGCTTACAATAAATTATGCAAAATAATCCAAAGTCACAAAGAAATATCGTTCTGCTCCTACGCTGACGATTTCAACATCATTCGCCCTCTTGGTAAACCTAAAAACCTCGATATTAACTTTAGCAACATACTTACTGAAATTCGAAACTGATGTAACCACTCAGGTGGTAGCCTCTCAGTAGAGAAATGCAAGCACATACACATGTGTAGGAAGTATAACTGTAGGTGCAAACCCACTACATCAGGATTCAATAAATCAAATGTTGACACCCTAAAAATTCTCGGACTCACAATTAATAAAAAATACAACTGGAACTCGCACATAAAATCCCTTATTCCTTCAATACAGAATAGATTTAATATAATTAAAACTCTCTCTAGCAACAAACTAAATTGCTGCCACAAACTTTATTAAATGCAGTCAAAGCGCTAATCATCTCTAAAATAGACTATGGTATCTTTATTTACGAATACTCTACAAAATCAAATCTCAACAAAATCAAGACCATCATTAACGCAGCTATAAGAGCCAGCTTAGGGGCGTTTTCCTCAACGCCCATTTACAACTTATTACACGAATCTCGTATCTATCCACTCGAGATTAGACGTGACCTTATAACCTCATGTCAACTTAAGTCTTTATAAAATAGCAATGACTATCCTATCTTGACTCTGGTTAAACAAATAAAAACATCCAAATTATACAAACAAACTAAATTGCTGCCACAAACTTTATTAAATGCAGTCAAAGCGCTAATCATCTCTAAAATAGACTATGGTATCTTTATTTACGAATACTCTACAAAATCAAATCTCAACAAAATCAAGACCATCATTAACGCAGCTATAAGAGCCAGCTTAGGGGCGTTTTCCTCAACGCCCATTTACAACTTATTACACGAATCTCGTATCTATCCACTCGAGATTAGACGTGACCTTATAACCTCATGTCAACTTAAGTCTTTATAAAATAGCAATGACTATCCTATCTTGACTCTGGTTAAACAAATAAAAATATCCAAATTATACAAACAAACTAAATTGCTGCCACAAACTTTATTAAATGCAGTCAAAGCGCTAATCATCTCTAAAATAGACTATGGTATCTTTATTTACGAATACTCTACAAAATCAAATCTCAACAAAATCAAGACCATCATTAACGCAGCTATAAGAGCCAGCTTAGGGGCGTTTTCCTCAACGCCCATTTACAACTTATTACACGAATCTCGTATCTATCCACTCGAGATTAGACGTGACCTTATAACCTCATGTCAACTTAAGTCTTTATAAAATAGCAATGACTATCCTATCTTGACTCTGGTTAAACAAATAAAAATATCCAAATTATAATAAAAGATCCAAACTTCAATCTGCCTTAGGAAGAATAGTGCGTTTCTCTATAGATCATAATTTACCCTCTACTCCACCAAAATTCATTAACAATAAGACCGCCCCTAATTGGCAACTAAATGAAAATTCAATAAATCTTACTCTCACTACTTACAATACGCACAACACCAGTCCAGTAATATATCAAAAGCTATTCTCTGAAATTAAAAATACTCTAAAGGACTTCAAATTTATTTATACAGACGCTTCTAAAACAAAGAACACAACCATCTTTAGCATCACCCCAATAAACAAATGTATAAATAGCAGTATTCTACCACACTATACATCAGTCTACTCAGCTGAGTTAATAGTAATTTTCCAAGCCATAACCCTACACAAAAACTCTTAAAAAAAAATAGCCATCTGCTCTGACTCACTTTCTTCTCTGAAAAATATCTCCAACCCCAACACCCAATGCATCTACGCTAAATATATCCGTAACGCTCTTTACAATAACCCAAAAATAAAGTTAATTTGGATACCTGGACATGTCCGAATTACAGGTAATAAATTCGCAGATACGTCTGCAAAAGCGGCTTGTTCTAGACTTCTCCATATGACATCAATCCTTAACTTTCGAGACATCAATAGATACCTAAAATTTACTTCCAAAAACATTTTCCATGATTCCTTTTCAAAAACTTCAACTTGGTATAAAGAAATACAAAAAAATAAAATCTTCATAGACCTGAACGCCAAAAAACACACCTATAACAGAAACGATATAATAAAATTCACCATAATCCGCCTAGGTCACTCCAGACTCACACACGCACATCTTTTTGACCGTAATCCGGTACCAAATTGCCAGTTCTGCAACAGTACAAACAACACAATAAAACACGTTCTAACCGACTGCCCTAAGTTCAGATCCATTAGAAACAATATTTTCCAAAACGTCGATCCTATATTATCAATTTCCTTCCCCACAACAGAATCCTTTGATAAAATCATCCAGTATCTCAAGCAAATAAGAACATATAACCTAATATAATTTTTTTTTAGTTAAATCCAGAGGTCGGCACGGCCCTATCTCGGGGGCATAGGAAATTTCTCTGCCCGAGCTCTGCCGCACACACACAGTATAAATGTGTGAAACGTCATGCTCACAGCCTACTTTCTGCTATTCGTTACTAACACTAATGCGGTAAAATCATATCAATGTATTGGGGTGCCGACCACTGGTTTAATCTGTACATTAATAAGAAACATAATCTACCTACATATTCTAACTGTAAAACAAGAACATATAACCTAATAGAATTTTTAGTTTAATCTGTAAATTAATAAGAAACATATTCTACCTACATATTCTCTTCTACAAAAAAACAAATCTAATATCTACATAAGCACATTACTTACACATTACACCAGTGGTGCCCAAAACTGCCTTAAAAAAACGAAAAAGTCGGTGTGTTTCAAGAGATTCACTGAGAGAAAAGAAATGTGTAGTTTTTTTTATTACAGTTATTATATTATTAATAAAAAAAATTGGACAAAAACAAAAAAAAAAAAATTTCGTGCAAAGAAAATGGTCTCTAAATTCTCAGTCATTTTTTCGATAAAAATAAGCATCAACCGCTCGCCTCGCTTGCTCGCTAATAAGTGCAGTCCAGCTAAATCTCAGTGTAGGCAAGAGACCTGCCTCGTGAGAAGGCAATATCTCCATCTCTATTGCACACGCATAAGAAGTATCGGCACTCCAACAACAAAATTCATTCGGATTAGTACGATTGAGGAGAATAGGGAAAACACGAAAAATTGTTTTTGTAATTGCCCTTTGCTTATGCTGGGACCAACGATGCTTATGGCGTGAGTAACGAGTCTTATGGAGTGAGCAGTCGCACACAACTCGGTATGCATGAGCATTTGCAAAAACAAATGAGCAGCGAGAGCAATGGGTTGAGCACCACTGCATTACACATTCGCTTACACTGGAAAGAATAAACGTTTTTACTCGTCAAACATGATTTTCGATCCCTGTAATCATATTAAAATTATCATGATAAATTGTATTATGCTTATACTTAGCTTTACCAAAAAAATTCCAATTACCACATTCCCACATCAGCTTTAATAAGGTGACGCTAGCTTGACCGACGTCACTTAACCACATACTAACAATAAAATATTAAAAGTTGTACCTTCCTTGTTTTCAATCCAAATGTTTATAAACAATGGATTTTGACGAATTTAATTATAGTAAGTCTTTCAAATTAATTAAAACTGACTTTTTGTCAATGGTCGATGTGTTATGTTTTTTTATATATTTTATGAACGGTTCATTTAATATTCATGAATGTATGTATGTATGTACATATAGGCATATGTACTCTGGAGATTTGAGAACGATAAAAAGGTATTCTGTGGGGAAAAAGGTTTTACGCAGCAGCGCGACCCAAAAAAGCTGATTTTTTTCTATTTAAGAAGTAAACTCAACTATTCAAGACAATTATTATTTTTTTTTAACTACTATAACTATAACTATAACTATAAGCTACTTTTAGCTGATTTTCCTTGAAGATTCCTATAATACCCACTAGGTTCGGTTTCGTTACCAAATTTTGGAAAGCCAAAATTCTGTCATACTGTCCATATATGATAGCAATATCCCGATTCCCACATCCATGTGTCAAAAATTTGAACGCATGGATCTTGGAGACTATATCTTCAGACTATAGACTTCACTTCTTCACTTCAGACATCTTCAGAGACTATATTCATCTTCGTTCTCCGGTTCGATATTCAATTCCAATGAGAGTCCTATTGAATGTCTTCTCCTTAGAACCGGTACACAATTTTTGACAGAGCCATTCGAAATGTCTGCTTTGAAATACCTTTGCATATGCGGTCATCAGAATGATACCATATTTTCTTTTTTATATATTGGCAAAAGTTTTATTTTTAAATAAATACATCATCAAATTCCAAAAAAAAAAAATTCTTGAATGTGCCAATTATAATTATATAAAATCAAAAAATAGATAATTGCTATACGACGTGCAATAGGTTACAAAGTTGGACTAAGCTGGACCCACTTTATACACCTTTTTAAAAATGAGATTTCTATGCAAATTTTTACTTTTGAGTATTTATTTTTATTTTTACTTACATTAACTTATTACTACGAGACACCACAAAAACTTTTAAGATTTCAATACACACAACATATAGTACAAACTACATATCTTGTATCAATTAACACATTTAAAACTTTGCCATCTATTAAAGTCAAATGTCCTTCATATTTCACTATTATTCTTTGCTTTCCTAAACTGTAGGTGTGCTCAAGGTTTTTTAATTGCTCGTCCAAGTTCGTTTTTTCCCTAATAATTCAATTTTCAGCGGTCGGCAGAATGTGACCGATTGAGAAGGAGGATTTAACCAATTAATTTGATTTTTGGAATCTACTAAGTTCAAGGGAATTATCGTGGTTAGAATCGGTGACTGATCTAATCCAACAGGTTTCTCCGTGTGAAATCGCTTTTTTTTTATATACTTTGTCCTGTTGAGCCATCAAACCCCTAGCTGACCATTAATTTTCAATGCGTTGCTTGCGTATGAGCAATTACGTCTTTTTTCATTTCAAATATGCGGTCATCAGAATGATTTAATAAATTGTGCAGCGATATTTTAACTTTAGATTCAGAATAAGTTATTTTATCTTGTTCTGATCTGCATTTTATTTTTATTTTTGTAACTTCCGAATAAGGGTGATAAATATCGCATCCATGGAGCTTACTTATTTTTATACCATTGCAACGCAGTGAAGGAGACATCTTAAACCCTATAAAAAATATATACACTAACCAGAAAAAGTCTGCGTACAAACTTGACGCTAAACTTTGATGTTAAATAAAAATAGTTGTGTAAAAGATATTGGCAAAATTTTTTTTTTATATTAACAACACATCTATTTTCCAAAATTATAGCTACTTTTTATTTATTTAATTCAACACCTTATTTAATTAAAATTAAGAAACTAAAAATTCACACGTTTTTGGGCAAGAAAAAGTCTGCGTACAAACTTAAATTAATATAAAAAAAGGCACTTATTTATATATAATGAATTAAATTAGTATGAGGTAGGATACCCCTTCCTCTTTATAGTCTCAGACAATCGTTTTGGCATTGACTGAACCAATTTTTCGGTGAAAGCAGGTGGTATTTTGCTCCACTCATCCAAGATCACCTCCTTCAGCATAGTCCTGGAGGTTATTTTTCGTAGGCGAATCCTACGTTCCAGATAATCCCATAAATGTTCTATGGGATTGAGATCCGGCGACTGGGGCGGTGAGTGGAGCTGATGTTTTGTGTTATAAAGCAACCACAGCTTCACATTGTGCGCAGTGTGCTTGGGGTCATTATCCTGTTGGAACCAGAAGTCATCACCCAGACCCAATTTCGCTGCGCTCTGGTGCAAATTGTCCTTTAGGATGTTCATGTAGGCCTTATGATCCATTGTTGATTCAATGAAAACAATGTTGCCAACTCCACTTGCCGCCATACAGCCCCAGACCATCACGCCGCCACCACCGTGCTTTACAGTTGGTGCAAGGTTTTGCACATCAAGGGCGGTTCCAGGTTTGCGCCACACAAGTTTTCGACCTTTGATACCAAATATGCAGAACTTGCTCTCGTCGCTGAAAATAACGTTGTTCCAAAACGCTAAGGGCTGTTCCACGAATTTTTTAGCGAATTGTAAGCGCTTCAGTTTATTGACTGGAGATATGAACGGCTTTTTTCTTGCAACACAGGCATGTAAGTCCTCTTTTTTCAAAATTTTTCGGACTGTGTCGTCATGTAAGTCCTTATTAAACTTCTCCTTTATATCCTGGCTAATTTTTGCGGCCGTTATCCTAGGATTGAGCCTCACAGTCTTCAAAACGTCCCGCTTCTCACGATCCGTCAGCTTTGGCGGTCTACCAGAACGTGGCTTTGACTTCACTAAGCCGGTTTCTTCAAAATTTTGTATCACTCTTTGAATAGAGGAATGCGTTCTGTTGCAAATTTGGCCAATTTCCCGCAAGGTTTTCCCCTCATGACGTAGTTTAACAATTGTTTTTCTCAAATCAGGATCAATTTCTTTCCTCGTCTTGTCCATTGCGATGTGTGAGATGCAATGTCAAAATTCATACAAACAAAAAGCATCACGAAATTTGTAATGCTTTTATTACAGTTATTTATTATCTAACGGTACCTAAAGCTGCGAAAAGAACTTTTTCTCACTGAGTGAAAACTTTGTACGCAGACTTTTTCTTGCCCAAAAACGTGTGAATTTTTAGTTTCTTAATTTTAATTAAATAAGGTGTTGAATTAAATAAATAAAAAGTAGCTATAATTTTGGAAAATAGATGTGTTGTTAATATAAAAAAAAAATTTTGCCAATATCTTTTACACAACTATTTTTATTTAACATCAAAGTTTAGCGTCAAGTTTGTACGCAGACTTTTTCTGGTTAGTGTATGTATTCTTGATCAGGATCACCTCCTGAGTTAATATAAGCATGTCCGTCTGTCTGTCTGTTTCTACGCGAACTAGTCTCTCAGCTTTCAAGCTATCGACTTAAAACTTTCCACATACCGTTCTTTCTTTTGCACGCAGTATATAAGTCGGAACGGCCGGGATCGGCCGACTATATCCTATAGCTACCATATAACTGATTGATAGGAAATGGTATAACTGGTGTTTTTAGAGTTAGAGAGTAAAATAATAACATGCCAAATTTCATAAGGATCGGCCGACTATATCCTATAGCTGCTATATAACTAAACGATCGGAAACGGTATTTGGTATAAATACAAACTTTGGTATTTTTGAAGATAGAAGCTTGGGACTTTTTTTTAGATATTTTATTGTAATTATTTGGTTTTATTATGATATTCTCATAAGGATCGGCCAACTATATCCGATGTTTGCGATATATATCCGGTTTTAACTGGAAGGGTATATCAACTTCGGCCCGCCCGAAGTTAGCTTTTCTTTCTTGTTATTTACAAACATGACTTTTATTTTTTTTAGACGACTTTTCGTTTTTGCCACCATCAGTTAATCCAGATGCATTAAATTTAACTGCGTCGCAAATCGACACTTCCTTGGATTTGAATGATTTTATGTTAGATGTTGAAAATGAAGACATATTTTCTGAATGTTTTCAAAAATCAAACCAGTTAAATGGTGATTATTATTTGGACTCAAATGCATCACCATCTATGGCATCTTGCTTGCTACGAAGTTCTTCTTTATCTTTAGATGGCCTCGAAAGCTTTTTAGAATACAAAGAAAAACAAAATGAAATGACTATTCGTAATACGCCATCTCCAGTTTCTAGTTGTAGTAGTTCAAGTTGCAGCTCAACTAGTGGAATCCAGAGTGATATATCCGATTTTTCGCAGCATATTCCGCACAAACATATCAAGGGTGAATTCGAAAAAAAAAGTATAACCCCAAAAGTTTTGGTGACAAATAGTAGTAATGTCAAAATAATTAATAATTACGATGGAAAACTGTTTTCAAAATCATCTCCAACTTCATCATCAATAGTCAAAGAACCCTGTATGCTGGAAACTACCTCTGTATTCATTCTACAAAAGGATGAAAAGGTGCAAAAAGCAAAATCAGTTGAGAATATGTTTCCAATACAAAATTTTTTTGAGGTTGCACCCACACCAATTATTGTTGCGGAGAAAAATAATAGAGAAACATCGCAAATAAATAAATCGGGTAAGAAGTTATACGATCAAATAAAAATAGCAAAATCAACTGATAATAAAATCAAAAAAATACCAATCCATGTCCAAAGTGATTTTAAAAATGAATTTGTTATTAAAAATGTATTGGATCAAAAAATGATTAAGAAACAACAACGTATGATAAAGAACCGGCAATCAGCTTCTTTATCACGCAAAAAGAGAAAAGAATATGTTGTGTCGTTAGAGGCTCGACTAAATAAACTGGAAAAAGAAAATAACGAGCTTCAAGGAGTAAGTATAATTAATTATATGTGATTTTTTTCCATACTAAAAATCGTTAAGTAGGTCAAAGTTACCGGCACATGTGTTTTGTATACTTTTATATAAAAATACCAACCAAAGAAGGTATCAGATATTTTTGGCAAGGCAGGCGCGTATGTATTGGTATTTTACCCCGTCAAAAAGTTTTTATTCTCGGTACTCGTACAGTACACAGGTACTGTACTCCGACCTTATAAAGTATATATATTCTTGACCAACATCAACTGCCGAGTTAATATAGCCATGTCCGACTGTCAGTATGAACGCGTGGACCTCAGAGACTACTTCAATGCCTGCAGACTACTATTGGCATGGAGACCCATTTCATACAACGAAAATGGACGCAAAAATTTCTTGCGACAGGCCCAAGAGCGAAATCTTACTCTCTTTCTTACGCTCAATGTTTGTTCATCTTACGCTCATATTCTCATTGAATGCTTTCTGTTTCTCAGTCTCTTAAAGGAGCGCGATGAAGAAGGTTGGTCTGCGCTTGGATTGATCTTTGTATGTATGCGTGTCACACATTCACATACACGGGTGTATGCGTGCGATTTCTTTTCGAAGCCAGCGCACAAAATTTTGTATATTTCTAACTTTTCAGGCTTGCTACCCTAACACAATATATTAAATATATGCTACCCTTTTTTATATTATATATATTAATATTTCAGCATACATTTTAAATTTTTTTATACCCTTGCAGAGGGTATTATAATTTTGGTCAAAAGTGTGCAACGCAGTGAAGGAGACGACTCCGACCCTATAAAGTATATATATTCTTGATCAGGATCACCTCCTGAGTTGATATGAGCATGTCCGTCTGCCCGTCTGTCTGTCTGTTTCTACGCGAACTAGTCTCTCAGTTTTAAAGCTATCGTCTTGAAACTTTGCACACACCCTTCTTTCCTTTGCACGCAGTATATAAGTCGGAACAGCCCGGATCGGCCGACTATATCCTATAGCTGCCATATAACTGAACGATCGGAAATGGTATTTGGTAGAAACATCAACTTTCGTATTTTTGAAGAAAGAAGCTTGGGACTTTTTTTTCGATTTTTTGTTGTAATTAATTGGTTTTATTATGATGTAATCATAAGGATCGGCCAACTATATCCGATGTTTGCGATATATATCCGGTTTTAACTGCAAGGGTATATCAACTTCGGCTCCGCCCGAAGTTAGCTTTTCTTTCTTGTTAGATTTTATATTATAATAAATTGGGTTATATTATTATATTCTCATAAGGATCGGCCAACTATATCCGATGTTTGCGATATATATCCGGTTTTAACTGCAAGGGTATATCAACTTCGGCTCCGCAAGAAGTTAGCTTTCCTTTCTTGTTTTAAATTAAATTTTTGTTAAAGTGAAGTTATTTTCTTATTTAGTCAACTTTAATGTAATTTAAAAAAAAAAAAATTTAAAAAAGAGTACCAACATATTTCAAAAATGTTCTTTGCTACAATTTGTTGTAAACATCAATTAATCCAAGAAAGGATGGACGGTTTCCGTGCTTAGTGACAGATCTTCTGCGATGGTTCTAATAGTCACATTACGATCACGATCAACTATTTTCATGATTTCATCCGTATCAACGGTCACTAGTCGTCCGGAAGGTTTGGGTGTTTCGGCATCAAAATTGCCACTTCGGAATCGCCTAAACCACTGTTTGGTGGTTTGAATCGAAAGTTTGTTATATACTAAGACAGCAATAATCTGTCTGCGAGATTCCGCAGAAGTTTTTCCCTGTGCGAAATAAAATTTCAAAATTGCCCGAATTCCTGCTTTTGTGAACTCCAGTTCAATCGATTGTAATTTTTTAACGTGGAAGCTCATGTAACTATATGTCATTTTAAAGTGTGCTCCAGAGTAAAAGTGTGTAAAAGAAAGGAATAAGCGAAATGGAAGGGCACACTATTTCTCCGGAACGCTAGCAAGACTGCACTGACTAGTTTTCGTAAAAGCCTTATAACTTCAACAATTTTCATAATTTTTTAATTAAATTGGTCTCTTTTTATTCAGGATTTATGAGGCAATATTGATATGTATCAAAAATAATAACATTTCTTGGAAGGTGTACCGAAAAAATAACGTTGAAGTCCGAAAAACACGACAAAAATTCAAAAATGTCATTCTCTCGTGTAAAAATGGTATTCTTTTTGTTTTAATTAATTAAGGGGACCCCCCCCCATTCTCGGTTTTAAAAAATCGATTTTTTTTTTTTAATTTAATTCGAACTTGTAACTATTCAAGAATGTTCCCTGAAAATTTCAAGTAAAAATTTCAAAAACTCTTGAAGATATAGCCGATTTATGGTGGAAGCCTCAGGCGACGGCGAGAGCCGTCTCAAAACTTTAAACGCGTTTTTCTCGAAACAGTGTTTTTACGACTGGCGCATGAGGTTACTCAAAAACTATTAATCCAATCGGTTCCAAATTTTAACACGTTATTCTATACATATATAGCTCTCGTATGAACTAGGATAAATCAAATCGGTGAAGATCTTCTTTACTTTTCAACTCGATTTGGGCTGAAAAAAATGGAAATTTTCAAAAAAAAATTTCAAAGATCCGCCATTTTGTTAATTTTTGAGCGAAGTTAATAATCCTAGTTCATACGAGAGCCAAACATGTACTTTTTCTAATCCCGTTGGAATTTTTGGATTCAGATGTTCCAGTGAACGGAAATCACATGCGCCGCCGAAAAGAAGGGCTTTTCTTTGATCACAAAAAAAAACAACAAAAACAAAACAAAAAAAAATTCTGTGAAATGATTTTCTTCCTTTTTGTGTCTTAATATATGTAAGCACAGTTACAACCCTAAAAAATAATTTATGTTCATTTGCCAGCCCTTTAAGGGGGTCCCCTTTATTATAGGGGTTTATTTTTTTCAAAAGCTACAACATTTAACTATTAAAAAACTTCGGAAATTTTAAAATCTTCAAAAGATACGCCCTAAGGAATTTTTAAGAGCAAAAATGTTCCGAATAACCGTTTTTTCTAAATCAATAAAGATTTTGAGGGTTTTAGAAATATTTCAAACACGGTTTTGTACTATATTCTACCACTAACCATACAGCATATAGACAACCCATTTCATACAACGAAAATGGACGCGAAAATTTCTTGCGACAGGCCCCAGCAGGCCCCAGAGCGGATTTCTTACGCTCATCGTTCGTTCATCTTACGCTCATTCTCGCATTAAATGTTTTCTGTTTCTCAGTCTCTAAACGGAGCGCGATGAAGAAGGTTGGCCTGCGCTTCGGTTGATCTTTGTATGTATGCGTGTCACACATTCACATACACGGGTGTATGTGTGCGTGCGATTTCGTTTCGAAGCCAGCGCACAAAATTTGGATTTTTGTTACTTTTCAGGCTTGCTACCCTAACAAAATTCGGGTATTCGTATTTGATGAAATGACAAAAGAAATTATATTATTTTTTTTTAATATTTCAGCATACGTTTTTAATTTATTTAAGAATAAGATTAAGTGTTAGTAGTAAAATGTTTTCTGTATATATATTTTTACGAATCATTAAAAATCAATATACTGAGAAAGTGTCAGAGTATATTTCAGTCGGAGTCACTTAAAACGCCGATTGCTTTTAAGTTTTTGTTGTTCTGAAAGAGGCTTGAGCATGCCTACTCTAACGATGGAATGATTTTTAGGGGAGGGTGAAGACACGAAAACAGCTGATGGAATTGTTTACCTTTTTTGTTTACAATTTTTCAGGCACTTGTTATTAATTTGGGTTATTGTGAGATTTAATTAAATTATTGTCGTTAATTTAATAATTTCCTTATATATTTTGGAACTTTAAAAAAGTCGCCGCTCGAATTTGTTACAGATATATATACATATATTTATATATTTACATTGGTTTTCTGATACCTCTTGCAGAACAACAAAAACTTAAAAGCAATCGGCGTTTTAAGTGACTCCGACTGAAATATACTCTAACACTTTCTCAGTATATTGATTTTTAATGATTCGTAAAAATATATATACAGAAAACATTTTACTACTAACACTTAATCTTATTCTTAAATAAATTAAAAACGTATGCTGAAATAATAAAAAAAAATAATATAATTTCTTTTGTCATTTCATCAAATACGAATACCCGAATTTTGTTAGGGTAGCAAGCCTGAAAAGTAACAAAAATCCAAATTTTGTGCGCTGGCTTCGAAACGAAATCGCACGCACACATACACCCGTGTATGTGAATGTGTGACACGCATACATACAAAGATCAACCGAAGCGCAGGCCAACCTTCTTCATCGCGCTCCGTTTAGAGACTGAGAAACAGAAAACATTTAATGCGAGAATGAGCGTAAGATGAACGAACGATGAGCGTAAGAAATCCGCTCTGGGGCCTGCTGGGGCCTGTCGCAAGAAATTTTCGCGTCCATTTTCGTTGTATGAAATGGGTTGTCTATATGCTGTATGGTTAGTGATTCTACCTAATAAACAATTCAAATCACTGTCGAACTGTGTTATTTGCTTTAGAGAAACTTAAGCATTTTTAGTTTTGCTGGATTATCTTAGACAAATTAGACAATTATTAGACAAATCTTTTATAACAAATTGGCTTTTTTATTAAATTAAATTTATTTAAAGAAAGTTAAATTTTTATTAAGCATATATTTTTACAACCTAAAAAATTTCCTACGCTGCAATTAATAAAGCAGCCAGATTCTCTAACACTCTCACCTTTGCTTTGCGAAAACCAATTTTTTTCCAGAAAAAAAAATTCCTTTTTTTTCACCAGAGCGAATAAATTGCAGCGGCGCGAGTATATAATTACATTGCGTCTTATGAACGTATGCATACTAAAGAGGAGCTAATTCGGTTTTGACGGGAAATGAAAAGCAGAGTTTAATTATTGTACGTTATATTTTATTTATACTGCAGGCAGATGAAACTGGGATCAACAATTGTGATCATCCAGTTTATGGTGCTAAGCAGT